ATCTGGTGGCATTTGTGCTGGGAATATATCTATGATTTTAGATATGAATCATTTTATTTATTTTTTCTTGTTTAGTTGTATTTGGTTCTACCCTAATTCTGGAAGCCATCAAGCTCTGGTTCCTGGCCATCCTGGCAGTATCAGACATTGGCTTCCTTTCACAGCTTGGACTAAAAGTTAGACCAGTCATTGGTTGGTCACTTCAGAAACTCTGAGGCACCTTTGCCCCAGGATATCTTGCAAGCAAGACAAGTGTGGTTCTAATGTTCAGTGGCTGACTTGATGACCCGATCCTACCACTTTGAGCCTTATGTGGTTACAGACGATGGCTGGTTCAGCCTCTGTATTCCTCACTACTAGGAATCTTCAATAGTGTCTTTCTTGTAGTTTTGGGAGTTTGCAGCATACTCTTTCCATATCTCCTGCAAAAAGCTCCATTATTCCTGTCATCTCTCCCTCCTATACTTCATCTCTGTCCCTTATTTACTTGATCTTTCTTGTTCCCATCCCCACCTGCCTCCAGTGCACCCACAAAAGCTATTATGTCTTCCCAGAGAATTCCATGCATGTCCCCTAGATCCATTCTTATTACTTAGCCTTTCTGCATCTATGACTTATACTGTGATTGACTGTGATTACTATGGTTGTACTTTACTTAACTGCTCATACCCACTTAGAACTGAGTAAACCATTTTGATTTATGTGCTTCTGGGTTGCCTCACTCAGGGTAAAAAATAGTTGTGCAACAACACAGCAACCAAATAATTCAAATATGGTGTGGTATACCTCTAAATGGAATTCTCAGAAGAGGAATCTAAAATAGATGAGACACATTTAAAATATGTTCAGTATCATTAGCCATCAGGAGATTTCATCATAAACCTGACAGAAAGGATAGTTCAACAACACAAGTGACAGCTAATGCTCCAAGGATGTGGAGCAAGGGGACTCATTGCTCTTGCAGTGCAAACTTGTAAAATTCCAGCCACTGTGAAAAACAATATGCAAAAATCCTCAGAATATTGAGAGTCAATCTATCTATCCCATGACCCGGGTATACCACTCTTGTGCATATTCCCAAAACACGGTCTTCCATCCCAGCACAAGGACACTTGCTCGACTCTGTTCATAATAGCCAGAAACTGCTGTGTCTGTGAGAGATTGTGTTGATTGATGTAGGAAGCCCCTAAGAAGGTGGACCTGTGCTGGGATATGGAGCATTCTGAGCATGAGGTAGAGACTAGGCAAAAGAGAAAGGCTGTAAACAGTCTTAGCAAGTGTTTTGCCTTCAATTGTTAGCTTGCAGTTTCTCCTACACTTCCAAAATGATTGAGTGTGATTGGACACAGTCAATGAAATAATCCCATTTACTGCCTGAGATACTTTCAGATTGAGGATTTAATCACAATAGCATAAAAGCAGGCTAGCACAAACAATTACAACACAAAAGTTGATTTCGTCTGTCAGTAGAATATAGGAATGATGACTTTTGCCACAATGTGGAAGATATCAAGATTTTTATGTGACACAAAAAAGAAACAGGAAAATAATTAACTGTTCTTGTAGGACCAGGAAAATGAAAATGTAATGGCAGAGAATAGTATTGAGATCATAGGATTTCAGTTGAAAATAAACTTGACAAAAAAACCAAGCCTGAGGACTTTTGTCTGATTTTTTTTTTTCTTTTTGGTTTCCCAAGACAGGGTTTCCCAGTGAAACAGTCCTGTTGTCCTGGAACTAGCTCTTGTAGACCAGGCCGGCCTCAAATTCAGAGGGATTCACCTGCCTCTGCCTCCCCAGTGCTGGGATTAAAGGCGTGTGTCACGACCATCCAGACTTTTGTGTGATATTTTGGCTCCAAAATTTTTCTTCTTGCCTATACTCTAGAACTTTAGTAATGCCAAATTAAAAAGTAATGGGCTAATGTCTTAAATGGAATATTGAAGCTGTTCAATGGTTATCACTGATGACTCATTTAGGTGCACAGTAAAAAATCCAAGTACAGCAGAAATAAAAGAAAATAAAAAGATAGTTTCAAAGGGCATTTTATGTTAAAGCAGGCAGGAATTTTCCAAGAGTTTATTATCATTACAGAAAAGCCATTACTGTGCAGTGGAAGCTTATCAAGGTGCCTAAGGGCAAGACTCCATACATATAAACCTTCAATTTAGGGATGGTTGAGCAATGTGACTCATAGTCTCAGGAAGCTACTTCATTCAAAACCTTCTGCACCTGTGGTCCAAGCTCATTAGTGTTCTTTGCAATTAAGAAATCCAGTTTCTCAGCATCACCAGTCTTGTGTTGGTTTTGGGAACATGAAAGAATCAAAATTTAAGATCATGGCTTTTTAGTTGATGGTTACAGTTTACCATTGTTGCAGGCATCTGTGTTTGGCAGCATCAGAAGCCCAATGAGTTCATTGCATGAAGCTGTGAGGATTGAAGCTCAATGTGGTGTTGTTGGTTCCTTCTTTTACTCTTTTGTTCCTTTAAAGCCTGCCACCCAGTTCTCAATTAAATTTCACACATGGAGGCTTATTTTTTTTTTTCTTAAAAATGCTTGACTTTGGCTTGTTTCAAGGCAGGTTGTTTGTAACTTACTTGTTCTCTCTACAATTTCCCCCTGGCCTTTATCTTTATTCTGTGTTCCTCTCTTTATTTCTTACTCCCTGGCTTGCTGTGTAGCTGGATTAAAGGCTCCTGTTATTCTCTCCTTTTGTTGCCTCTTCTTTCTGTTTTCCACCCAGATTTTCCCTCCCATTTATTCTCTTTTCCTGGCAGCCCTGCCTATCCTTTCTTGTCATGCGATTGGTCATTCAATCTTTTTACACCAACCAGGTATTTTAAATAGGCAAAGCATCAAAACTTCACAGAGCTAAACCAATGCAGCACTTCTTTGCATCATTAAAACAATTTTCCACAATAAATATAACACACTTAAAAATGTTATTTCACAACACACTGGGTTGCATTTTGAGCCCAAAGATGTTAAGATACCTAAGTTATGACACAACTTCCATGGAGACCCAGCTGCTCATAGTGAGTGCAAATTACCAAAGAGCGAAATGCATGAAAAGTTGCAAGGACAGGGCCATTTAAGTCATTTGAAACTGAAGCCCATACATCTGACAAGAGAGCTACAGGATTTGAGGTTTTCTTGCTCTGCTTCAGTCTTGGTTCAAACTTCCCTTACTATGTCTTTATTTTTCTCTTTTGGGATGTTAATGATATTTTGTGCCACTGATGTTAGAAAGAGGTAATGTGTTTGCAGGTTTTATAAGATGTTGCTGTCAACAGATTGTCTTGAATGCCAGAGGAGACATTACACATTTGGACAGTGTAGGGACCATTGCAGATGAGGATCATTAAATGTCTATCCTTGAAATGACTAAATGCAATTTTTCCATTGTTGGCCATGAAACAATAGTGGCTGGGGTCAGAATGTACTTGATTGAATGAAAAGATCATGTATTTGAAAAAGTTTCTTTCCTTGGTGGCTTTCTTTCAATTTCCTGTAAATCTTTAGTAGGAGAAGCCTGTCTAGATGAAATTCCTCATTGTATGTGATGAGTCTCAATACCCTCAACTTATTTCCTGACATTTATATCTACAGTTTTGTGCTTGTCATTAATTAGACAATTTCCTACTTATACTGAAATGCTTTTACCATCATTATAGGCTTGATCTCTACATATTCTATAGGTAAATATTCTATAGGTAAAAATGAGATATAGCAGAAGCAGTTGCTATTAAGGAGTTTGACAACCTGCTATTTTTATTGTTTTGATTGCTTGTCGAAGTAGTCCTTACTGTGTGGCTCCAAATTCCTGAAAGTAAAGGGGGGCATCATTTCTGGCCCTATTCATTTTCATATTATTGGGTGATAGCCCTGGAATACGGGCTTTTTATATGTCAAGTATATGCTGTTGTGCTGAGCTTCACGCTTCCCTTGAATTTAAAAATTTGAAAGAGGGTATCACTCTGACTCCAAAAATGCCATGTACTTATGACATTAATACTGCCTGAGCATTCTGAGTCAGTTAATTGCAGGTGCATGAACTTCTTCTGGATTGTTATGCTTGATTTGATTTTTTTTTAAAAAATCAATATGACTATTTTATATGTCTTCATGGATATTCATTACATGGGTACCTGGTCATCAAAGTGATCAAAAGATCTCAGAATTCCTGATCATGGAACAATGGAAAGTTGTGATCCCCACATAAGTACTGGAAAATGTGCCCACTTCCATTCAAGACCAGCAAAACTCTGAATTACTCTGCCCTCTCTCCATCTCTGTGTTGATTATTTGTGACCAACATTTATATTTCTAGTGCTTTCAGCTGTCTATTTTAACTGCTTTATACATGAAGTTCCTTTCTACAAAATGTTGTTGGAATTACAGTTTAAACTATGGCACTTCAGATGTCTGGAAGATGAATACAGAACTGGAGTGAATGCAAATTTGTAAGAACTTCAATAAAAGCCTTTCAGTTCTTTCTATCCCATTTGTTTGTTTTTTTTTTTTTTTCACTGATGTTTGCAATGGAGACAGTGACTTAATGTGTACTTCCACCTGTCCTGGATCTGATTGCATAGACTTGACTGGCATTCCACTCAGAGACAAATATACCCACCTCTGTTTTCTGAGTGTTGTAGTTAAAGGCACAATACACCAATACACCCAGTGTGTCCATATTACTTTTTTGTGTGTATTCTGTAACTCTTCATACAATTTTCTCATGCATACTATATACTGTTGATCTTTTTTGTTGTCTTTTCCTCTCAATAGACATTGCTCTTATGGGGTGGTATCCCATATAAAGGGTACAGAAATGACAGAGTTGACTCTGCTTTTCAATTTCCTTCTAAAGTGATTGTCTACGTCATGGAATAAGAGTGGGGACACCAGAATCATATGACTATACTGTCAGAGAAGTAGGTAGTTCTAACATTGTCACTGTCGTGCTTTCCATTGTACACATGTATGGTATATTTTAGAAGGCCGTGACCTGTGATGATGTGCACATCAACTTCACTCAGGAAGAGTGGGATTTGCTTAATCCTTCCCAGAAGAATCTCTATAAAGATGTAATGCTGGAGACCTACAAGAACCTCACTGCTATAGGTAAAAATGAATTTCCTTCATGTTTTAAAATATGGGAACAACTTTTCCTTGGTTAAGGATGTTGTTCTGCAATTAGAGTTAGAAAGAAGAATGAGGTGAATACAGCGGTCATAGTTCTTGGGTGCACTTAAGGTAATAAGCTAAATGTTGCACATTGTTAAATGATATAACATATATTCTGGTCCTGTATTTTAGGATACATTTGGGAAGACCTTAACACTGAAGAACATTGGCAATGTTCTAGAGGACATGCAAGGTAATTTTCATGTGCAAGTTGATAACAATGTGCCTCTGATGAGATTGCACTTTCTCCTAGAACTTTTAAACAAAAGCAACAGTGTAAATAAGCACAGCTTTAAGTGCATAGATGGTTATTAAATCCTCACAAATCCATATGCCTCAATTTCATGGATATGAATTATTCTTCCTTTCCTATGTGTATCAGACACTACCGTGTATATAAGCTTATGAGCATAGGGACATGGAAGGATTCAACACACCTCTCCTTAAGAACAAAGGGGAGATAGGCAGTAGTTCCCATGTAGAGTTTACTTGTTGAATTTGACTCAAGTAGACAATAACGAGGGTTTTCTACCATCACTATTAATATATAAACATTGCAAAAATTCCCCATGATTCTAGGTCTGTGCAAATCCTTCTGATTGTCCTAGTTCACTTAGCAAATGTAATATGATTCACAGTAAAATTTATGTATGCAGTAAAGTTTTTAAAGCTCTCAGTTTAATCAGTTGTCTTCTAAAATATGAATAATATCACATAAAATGTTTTTGTAAATGTCAAAAGGTAAACCATGAAACAAAGGAATTTATCATTATACTTATTTTCCTAGATGCAAACTGAACCCTAATTAAAAAGCAAGCATGATTTTATACCGAGTTATAAAACCTTAATAACTAATTCTATTTTAGAATTGGAACGAGTTATAAAATTAATTCATACAGATACCAAGGTTCAACAGTGTATTGAATGTGGTAAAGCTTTTAAATGTGCCAATTATCCTTGCAGGATTGAAAGAAATCAAAATGGAGAGAAGAAACTTTCAGTGTATACTCACGGTGTTAAAGCCTTGTCTTATGACACTCACCTGCTAAGGAATGAAAACCCATATAATGGAGAAAAACCCTCTAAAAGTAAGCAATGCAGTAAAGCCTTTGCTTATCGCAATGATATTCAAGTGCTTAGAAAACACACTGGAAAAAAACCCTATGAATATCGTCAAGGTGATAAAGACTTTGTTCTTTATGAAACACATCAAAGTCATAAAAGAACACATACAGGAGAGAAACACTATGAATGCAATCAGTGTGGTAAGGCCTACGCATGTCAAACTGATCTTCAAAAGCATAAGAGAACAGATACTGGAGAGAAACCCTATGAATGTAATCTGTGTGGTAAGGCCTTTGTAGCTCAGAATAATCTTCGCAACCATAAAAGAACACATACTGGAGAGAAAAGCTATGAATGTAATCAGTGTGGTAAGGCCTTTGCTAAAAACAGTGCTGTTCAAAAGCATAAAAGAAAACATACTGGAGAGAAGCCCTATGAATGTAATCAGTGTGGCAAGGCCTTTGCAGCTCAGGGTAATCTTCACAAGCATAAAAGAACACATACTGGAGAGAAACCCTTTAAATGTAATCAGTGTGGTAAGGCCTTTGCCCAGCACAGTCATCTTCAAAGTCATAAAAGAACACATACTGGAGAGAAACCCTATGAATGTAATCAATGTGGCAAGGCCTTTGCAGATCAGAGTAATCTTCAAAAGCATAAAAGAATACATAGTGGAGAGAAACCCTATGAATGTAATCAGTGTGGTAAGGCCTTTGCAGATCAGAGTAATCTTCAAAAGCATAAAAGAATACATAGTGGAGAGAAACCCTATGAATATAATGAATGTGGTAAGGTCTTTGCAGCTCAGGGTTATCTTCACAAGCATAAAAGAACACATACTGGAGAGAAAGAAACCCTATGAATGTAATCAGTGTTGTAAGGCCATGCACATCACAGTAATCTTCAATTGCATAAAAGAACACATACTGGAGAGAAACCCTATGAATGTAATCAGTGTGGTAAGGCCTTTGCATGTCACAATAATCTTCAAATGCATGAAAGAACACATACTGGAGAGAAACCTTATGAATGTAATGACTGTAGTAAACGTTTTGCATATCAAAGTGGTCTTCAAAAGCATAAAAGAATACATAGTGGAGAGAAACCCTATGAATGTAATCAGTGTGGTAAGGCCTTTGCAGATCAGAGTAATCTTCAAAAGCATAAAAGAATACATAGTGGAGAGAAACCCTATGAATGTAATCAGTGTGGTAAGGTCTTTGCAGCTCAGGGTCATCTTCACAAGCATAAAAGAACACATACTGGAGAGAAAGAAACCCTATGAATGTAATCAGTGTTGTAAGGCCATGCACATCACAGTAATCTTCAATTGCATAGAAGAACACATTCTAGAGAGAAACCCTATGATTGTAATATTTTTGATAAGGCCTTTGCACAAAACAGCCATCTTCAAAAATACAAAAGATCACAGATTAGATCGAACCCCTATGAATGTAGTCACTGTGGTTAGGCCTTTGGAGACCACTCTACTCTTCAAGGTAATAAAAGAACACACAGTAGAGGGAAACCTTATGAATGTATAGTACTGTGAATAAGCCTTTTCACATCTTATTCACTTTCAAATGCATTAAAGAACACAGACGGGAGAGATAACTGTGAATGGAGTCTGTGGTAAATCCTTTGTCACAACCATCTCCAAATGCATAAAATAAACCATCTTGCAGAAAACTATGAACTCGGTGTGTGTATTCTTCAAAAACATGAGAAAAATCATACTATAGTGAAACTCTAAGTGAATTTAGTGTTTTAATGGTTTATACTTCATACAGGAGTAAGACCTTTTTTTGGGGGGGGTTGAGACAGGGTTTCTCTGTGGCTTTGGAGCCTGTCCTGGAACTAACTCTGTAGACCAGGCTGGTCTCGAACTCACAGAGATCAGCCTGCCTCTGGCTCCCAAGTGCTGGGATTAAAGGCGTGCACCACCACCGCCCGAGGAGTAAAACTTTTGTGTGTAATCAATCTGAGAAAGCTTATGCATATTACCATAATCATTTGGACCTATGCAAGAAACGGAGGGCTTATTATAACCTATTTTTTAAAGATCTTAAGCCCACACACATATAGTCAGTTAGCCAACAGCAGTTTATTGTGTAGATAAAAATGGATAGTGTAAAAATATGTTCAAGCACTATGATATCTCTTTATTTTGTTTGAACCAGCAAACTAATGGCCAAAACCTTTTTGAAGCCTTATGGGTAAGAGAAATGGCTAGTCAAAGAAATACACCTTGGACATGAAAGCAGAGCCAAAGGAAAGCACTTTTTCTCTGAATCTTGAACTAGTTAAAGAAACATCATCTCCCTGAAAACAGCCCAAACATTAAAAAGTACCAGTGAAAGAAACACACTCTCAAAACACAACTAGCAAGTTGGGAGCTTAGGCCCCAGTTCCTTGCATCTATCCCAGCCCCCAGGCCTGGTCTGGACTCTAAATTCCAGCTGGTCAGGTCCTGACCCCACCCCCAGAGGTCTTTAAGTGATCTCCCAAAAGAGGAACACGTGGTCTCCCTCTCTTTCTCCTGGGGGTCGCATTTCTGCGGCTTCCTGGTTCCCCCTCAAGGCCACCTGAGAGCACAGATCCCCCATTAAACCTGGATATTTCTCTTTTTTTGGTTTTTTTTGAGACAAGGTTTCTCTGTGGTTTTGGAGCCTGTCCCGGAACTAGCTCTTGTAGACCAGGCTGGTCTCGAACTCACAGAGATCTGCCTGCCTCTGCCTCCCGAGTGCTGGTATTAAAGGCGTGTGCCACCACCGCCCGGCTAAACCTGGATATTTCTTAATTTGGTTTGTTTTGATTTGGCTTGATTGGGAATTTTGCATCGACAGGGAGCTAGTATTAAGAAATATTCCTAGGGGCTGGAGAGATGGCTCAGTGGTTAAGAGCATTGCCTGCTCTTCCAAAGGTCCTGAGTTCAATTCCTGGCAATCACATGGTGGCTCACAACCACCTGTAATGAGGTCTGGTGCCCTCTTCTGGCCTGCAGACATACACACAGACAATTGTGTACATAATAAAATAAATAAATACATTTTTAAAAAAGGAATATTCCTAACATTTTGGAGGTTCCCACCAAGGTAGGCCAGGCCCTTTCCACTTGGCAGGCCATGTGTTGAAAGGCCCCTAGTCTATAGTTTGAGCTCTCTACGCCACGCTTACAACTGGCTTCTGGGCCATAGTGGCTGCGTCTTGGTGAGTCCCTTTTCTTATCTATGCTATAGGGTTCTGGGGGACCCATTCATACTTATTTTTGTCATTTTCGGATTCCCACTGAAGTCATGAACTCACACTGGGAATTCGAGTCAGGTGGCAGTCAATCCCAAGAAATCAGGCTTGGCTGAGTTGGAGATCTGTCTGTCCTGGGACACCAGGCATCCAATATACATTTGAGGACATTCTAAAATGGACTTAAGGCCACGTGGTTGGGCATAGACTCTAAAATGGACACTTACACTTCAAAGCCAGGTCTGTTGTTGCCCCTATGAGCCTCTTACAAAAATCTTTTTAAACTGAGCTTGTCTGATACAAATAAACAGAGCTTACATATATATGTCCGTGATTTTTGACCTCTGCGCTCTCACTCCCGCCCCTTAGTAGCCTGTGTCTCTCCACACCACAGTGCCAGAGGCACTGGCCCCTCCCCAACTCCTTGAAACCCACACTTCCCAACCCCTCCCGTGGAGCAACATTCTTTCCCCTCCCTTTTCCAATTCAGAGGTTCAAGGTCAATTTCAACCTTCCCCACCCCCTCCCACCACACTGCACTCCTGGATCCCTTCTGCACACTGGGCTAGTCCCTCCCCTGTTCCTTTTTCTCTTCCAAATCTATCAGGTAGAAAAGTAGCTACGTTCCTTTTCTACTAATCGTTCTGCTTCCTCAGTCAGAACCAGATATTAGGGAAAAAAAGTTGAGGATGGTCCCCAAACTCCTATATGGGAATTGGTAAAAATGGCCTTTAAAGTTTTTTTTTTTTTTTTTTTTATTTCGAGACAGGGTTTCTCTGTAGCTTTGGTGCCCGCCCAGGAACTAGCTCTTGTAGACCAGGCTGGCCTTGAACTCCCAGAGGTCCGCCCGCCCCCGCCTCCCGAGTGCTGGGATTAAAGGTGTGCACCACCACCTCCCAGCGCCTTTAGTTTTTAATGCCTGAGAGGAATCAGCTGAGTCTTCCCGACAGACAAAGCTACAACAATCTACAGGCCCAGTCCTTAGCAGCTGCCCTAAGGTCACAAGAAGGGGGACAAGGGAAGCCAATCATAGGGCTGTATCAAGTGTGGCCTCGATGGTCTCGTGGCACGATATTGCACTACACCTGCTCCGAGGTTGTGTGAATTCACCTGTGCCATGATGTGTATGTAGCACTGACAGGAAAACTAACAGGGGTCTATGATCTACTTCTGCTGTGTGAGGTCTAGTGATTAAACCTTTGGAGTTATTTGACCGCAAATGACCTCAATGGCACTTCTTGTGAAGTGAAGAAATATGTTTGGTTCTAAGAAAGTGTTATAAATAAATATGTAGTCCTCAAAATGAACAAATTTTCCTTTTGTAATGTTTCTTCAAATTGAAATTGAGCACCACTGAAATGGCTCAGGCGGAAAGGAGTGTTGTAAGACTAGAAACTTATACTCAATTTTCTATAAAATGTCAAGCTGTGGTATTAGATACACAGTTGTTTGCTGGTTCTCATCCATTATTACATCCATATCAGATAAATGAAGATCTTTGAATACATACATGAGGTCTTTGATGTTTCTTATAATTTCTTTTATCAGTTATTTTAACATTAACATTCTTAAATTCTCTTGAAAAAATGGCATACCTTGAAAGTTCATCATCTACCCTTGGACTTGTACTCAAGCAGAAGACAAATGAGCATCATGAGTTAAATGTAGTCAGTAGTTAAATTACTGACATCCAAGGTAAGATGAATAACAAACAACAAAATCTCAAGGGAATTTGTGAAAAGATGAAAATCAAAACCAGAAAACAAACCACCACCCTTATGTTTAAAGCATGATCAAACATGGCCTGATATTTCAATAACAAATAGGGCAATTATAGTATGGGGACAACATTCTACACATGATACCAGAATAACACCTGTCATTAGGTACAAACACAACAGAAGATGAACAAAGGCCATAGAAGGAATAGAAGGTCTACAAAATAAACTTCACTAAATGGATTTGTCACATATACAGCACACTTTAGTGACTCCCTCAAATATTTTAAAATAGAAACCATAATACAATGATCTCCTCCATCTGTCTTGACTGAACATGGTATGTAATTTACTTATTTCAATGCTATGATAAAAAAATAATTTTTCATGAAGCTAAAGAAATCAGTGATGTTTAATGTCATTAACAATTTTTTCATGAATAGGAATTTCTTCTTTATGAATTTGTTCCTATTGCAGACTTAAAAGTGTTCTAAATAGAATTTAAAACATTTACAGTAGTAGAGTCATGGTGAGGTGACTAAGAAATATTCATTCCCAAGACTAAGCTCAGATTTTTAAAGGCTTGCTGTAATTCCTGGTATAAGAAGATCCAAAGTCTTAATTTTTTAAGGATACAGAATATCAACCCAAATATTCACATACACACACACACACACCATAAAAACAATTAAAACAACATTTTAATCAAACAACTTTCACTCATGAACATTTTTCTCCTGCATTTATTACTGTAAAAGAGGAGTCAAGGCATCTGACAGCTCACTTATAGTTTTTCTTCATGAGTTGGTTCATGAAAGAGAAAGCAAGTTTAATCTTGAAGTAAGATAAATTAGTCCTTCTAAGTTGGTGGTATCATTTGGGAAGATTTACGACATGCTGTCCTGCTGAAGGAAATATGTCACTGAGAGTAGACTATGAGAATTTACATCCATACACCAGTTCCAGTTCCCACTCTCTGCTTCATGCAGGAGATTAAGGATGTGAGTTCTTAAGCTCCTGCTTCAGGTGCCATGTCTGACAATTTTTGTCATGGAACTTTCATGGTGATNACAGGCCCAGTCCTTAGCAGCTGCCCTAAGGTCACAAGAAGGGGGACAAGGGAAGCCAATCATAGGGCTGTATCAAGTGTGGCCTCGATGGTCTCCTGGCACGAAATTGCACTACACCTGCTCCGAGGTTGTGCCCTATCTGCTAGCAACCTGGACACTGGAAATCACAATGCCACAATACGGACTTGTCCTCTATGCCAAGCCACAGAGGTCCGGCCTCATCACTATCGGCAAGTGAAGCTGTGCCAGCCTTCAAACGTCTCAGCCTTGCAGAGGCTGCCCAGATTTGGTTTATCCCGTAACCCTCGCCTAGCCTAGTGTCATGCTAAAGTGGCGGGTAAGTCCATTACTTTTATTCTCACTCGGGCCTTAAGTTTCCCTCACCGATTTCATCTATGGGGATAGATGGGACCAGTTCCTCCCCCACTTAAAACTCTGCCACTGCCCTACATTCTGGTAGGACAAATTTTCTCCCATTCTTTTTTAGTGATACCAGCTTGCCCAGCACCCTTACTGGGTGGTGATATCCTTAGCCGC